TCCACTGATGATGTCCAGGAGATGCTGCTAAAAGCTATGGAAGAAATTTAAGATAAAAACCTGTCACATGTTGATACGTCCCCTAAATTTCTCACTCTTCTTTCTCCCGGTCACAGACATACTGCCTGGACATTACCCCGGAGCGATCAACATACCATATACAACTTTGCTGGATCCCTCTGGAAAGGTGAAGGATACCGAGAGCCTGGCTGAGATTTTCAAGGATGCAGGGGTGGACATGACGCGACCGTTCTGGGCTTCTTGCGGCTCAGGCGTCACAGCGTGTCAAGTCATTCTGGCCGCCCACCTGCTCGGGCATCCCGGGGTTTGCCTTTATGATGGTTCCTGGTGCGAGTGGTTTCAAAAGGCATCACCAGAACTTATCATCTCAGAGGGGGAGGGAAAGAAGGCGTGAGGGGAAAGTCACTTCTTTAGAGGGAGCTAAGCTACAGGTGTATCTGACCTGACCGTGTTGGTGTTTCTCCCACAGCATCACAGTGTTGCTCTAGGACTGTGATCGCAAATGACCAGTTGCATAGATGTGTGAGGTGATTGCTTTCAGACTTTGGCTTTCAAAAGTCATGTGAAGTGACAAAGAGCAATCTGGCATGTTGGTTGGCTTGAACCGTTTAGTTAGGGTTAGGACCATATTTTTTCACAAATGTTATGCAGGGGAGACAAATTGCTTTGGGTTAACAAGAGCCTAGGTGTCAAGACAAGAAGCAGAAAGAACACCCTCGATAGGTCTAAGGCTAAGCAGCACAGACGGCCAGTCATGTTCGCACCGGCACATTTAGAATTGCCAGTTAGCCTAGGACTGTTGGACTGCGAAAGAAAGCTGGAGACAACCCACAAAAACAGGTGAATAACACCCAAACTCCCCCCAGGAGGTCGGTCCAAACCCAGAACCTTCTTGTTATGTGGCACCAATTCTAACCACTGCATCTACCCCATGACACACCCATATTTGTTTTACACAGTTTTAAAGGTTAGAGTTCAATAAAAAATGTTGGGTTTTTTCCCCCCCCATCTTATTTCTCAAAGTCGCAGAGCTGTAACTGGTCACTTGCGCTGATGGTCCTCGAGCAACATGCATTATTATGCTGTAGGAACAGCACCAACACGGGGACAGCAGATTGTGCCTGAACTTTAAACCTACGCCTTAACATCCTTCCCCCCCCGAGTATATTATACACACTATAGGTTGTAAGGTTCCTCAGCTGTAAGAAACCTTTCAAATAATTTAATAATTAATGTTTTAAGCAAATGTAACATTCTAAAGTTTCACTTCATATGTATTGTTTTGGTTCTTTCTTTAACCAAAAGTGATGCATTAGAATTCCATTACAATAACCTGAATATGTTATGTGCTTCCGTTTTGATGGGGTACCACCACAGGTATCTTCTTTTTCTTTTAAAAGTAAGTCTAGCTCACGAGGTGGAGGAAAACGTGCATTGGGTAACCAGTAAAGTAAATATTTAGCTTTGTTAGAAGGCCACACAGGGCAAAATTCACTGTTGATCAGATATAGCTTCCTCAGGTGACCTCGCAGGGTTGTAGGAAACATGTTGTTTCAGATCCTGTTTTTTTTTTTTTTTTTTTTTTTTTTTTTGGGGGGGGGGTAGGTTAAAATATCTTGATTTTTTTGCTTTCACTTGATCGGACTGTGTAAAAGTTGCAAGTTTTGAAAACGTAAGTCATTGTAATTCATTGTTAGTGTGCACCCAAGAAGAAATAATAATAATAAAAATCTAATTAAAAATACTTAATACACTTTTTCTAAAACATGCACAGCGTTTTTGAAAAAGAAAAAAAAAAAAGATTGCTGACACAGAGGAAATGGAAACCAGTTTGAGCCGGTTCCTGCAGTTTTATATGAGGTGTCTGGAAAGATGCCCGATTGCCAAAATAAAGTTTATGGATTATAGCTCACGCCAGGATGAGCTACGTGCAGCTGTTCTGTGCACACCATGTAGGTCATCAGGAAGTGTAAGTGCACTAATACGCATTTACAGTTTGAGAAAGAATCAGTAAATCAATCATGAGGACTGCTATTTTGAAAGCTTCATAAAAAACCGATCAGAGTAAATATTTATTCCAACTCTATTCTTCTTCGAGTAGCACTTTGTTTCTCATTAACAATGTAGCAAAGGGGTAATCTTAGCCACTCTGTATGATGTCAGCTGTTGCTATGTCTCATTGAGGTAAAAAAAAAAAAATGCCGAGTCCGGAATAAAAGAGCGCTCCAACTGGGCGAAAAGGAACGAACAGCTCATTTGAAATGATTCTTCTCAGGCTGAAGATGAGGCAGCAGCTGAACGCATTGTCTAAAAATGAATCAAACTTTCCGCTCTGC